TTTTGTGGGTAGGCAACAAATAGTGCCTCGTCACACCTAAGGGTCCTAAAAAGACTGCTCATTCTCATAATAGATCCTGAAACCAACTGGTTTTTAGAAAGGTCACAGTTCATTTACTTGTTAATTCACAAACCATCAAACTACATCCTGTTTTCTTCCTTTCAGTATGATTGTACCCACCCCCATTTACTGTCAGCTGAAAATGTTTTTACAAACATAATACTTCCTGTAATAAAAGAAACTAATTAATCATTTTTAAGATGCCCTGCAGTTTTTACTTACAAATTATGTTTACACTGAAGAGCATGCAAGATTTTACAAGATTTTTTTTAGGTTGCTCGAGCTGCTTGTTTATTAAATTAAAGTGGCAGCAATGTCTTCCTCTTGTATCGTGGGAACTGATACTCTCTGAATGATCTCAAGCCCAGATTTGTGCCTATCTCAAACAAAATCTAAAAACATGTTACCACAGAGAAACTGGGCAAAAATGGTTAAGTGCCATTCTTGAGAATCAAATGCTTTTTTGTTTTCGTGATTAGGTGGTAGAAATTACGTCAACATTTCTAGCCAAACACACAGAAAGTGAGGAGGGTACAAAAATGCTTTTAAAATCAACAGATATTAATTATTAATGAACACCATGAAGTCTGGGGACTCTGAGTAAACGTGAACTGATTTAGCACAAAGTTTCAATGGCCTAGTTAACTGGTATTGGGTCCAGACAACTGTTTAACCAAAGCTCTTCATTAAGAGCCCACCTTAACTTTTTAGAAGATTTTTTAGCAAATAAAAGTGTGCACTGAAAGTGAATCTTATTTATTCCAGAAGCTGCATACCAGCTCACTCATCCTATGACATTTCACAGCCCATCTGAGGTTTTCTTAGAAGTCAGTGCCTGCTTCAGTTCAGCAAAGTAGAAGCCAGTTCACATGTTGTTCCCTTCTGTGCCACTCAAGTGACTGTGCAGATAAAATGATCTGTTTTGATTGTGAAAAAGGAATCTAAGTGTCAGAGAAAGTCAGTTTTCAATTGACACTTGACTTCATCTTTCTTACACTGATGCATCAGATTAGTCCCTTATTTTCCCTTCGCTTAAAAGAAACACTTTTTTATCATCCAATTTTTGCTCCCATGGGTATTACATTGAAATTACGAAGATATAGGGTAGCTGTCTGCTCTGATTCATTACTACCTGTAGCATATATGAAGATAACAATGCATCACCAATGTGTAGGAGGTAAAAGGGTCACAACACTAGAATTACAGTATACATGAATGAGTTTACTCTTTTTTCAATATGACTAGGAAACTCCCTTGCCTGTGAATATTTCTTTCCTTGGTGTCAGAAAAGCTTGAATGTCCAAAAAAGCAAACCTTTGATCTCTGACTGAAACCCTTTCTCTCAACTTTTCACACAGATCTGTAAAAACCTTGTTAGTTTGAACACCAAAAAGAATCCCGGAAAACAAATACCGACATAAAATCGAAAGAGAAACACACTTTCTTTCTGGAAGAGGCTCAGACTCAAGAGCTCCAACAGTGGCCAGCCAGAACACCACACTGGGGTGAGGTAACAACGTGGTTAAACCAGTATGGAGTTTCCAGTCTCACGTGGAAAAAAATCATATATAGTAAACTGCTAAACTAAAGAGCAACTGAGAGGTCACAAGATTACTGACCCACACAATGAGACAGGTGAAAAGACAAACACACCTGTTGCACTACATTCGCAACTTCCTGTTTACATCTCCGGCATTTCCCTATCAAGCTGAGCTACTGCACCCCGGAGCCTTTCTCCTTCTCAAACGGACCACTACTCCTCAGGAATGCCATCTCTCTACTTTTCTAACACTCCCCTGTGGCTATATTCACCTGCTAACAGAGGGGCTTGCCACACGCAGAGCCACACGTTAAACCAAGGAAGGCGTTTTGGAACCCTCGCACTTTCTGAAATTGGGCCGACCGTCACATCTCTGGGGCAGAAACAAACCATCTTGAGCGTGATCTCATGGTTTCAGGCTCAAAACATACAAAACCTTTTGCATTCAAACACATTCTTAGTTTTGAAAAGATCTGGAATAGCAGACTACCCAGGGAAAATGAGATAATTAAAGGACCTTCGGTTTCACTAAGGCCATCTAGATGCAACACTCATTCATGATGTGAATTACTACAGGAAAACATACATAAGACAACTGTTTTCTCACCACATCATTCAGATGAAAGTTGCAACAACATGGCCATGTCTGTGAGTATGGAATTCATACCACAATACTTCACATAGCAGTGCACATGCTAACAGCCCTAGTAGAGAAGTGAAAAATTGCTTCACTGATCAAAATAAATGGGGAACTTTAGGGAAGCCAGATTATGCAAGTCTGGAGAGGATTTAGTCAATCCATGTGGTTAAGACACCCAGTTTTACAAACAGCAACATGAGATCTTTAATGACCCAAAAAATAAGAACTTCAGATTAACACCTCCTATAGCATAGTATTAATTCTAGTTTATGAGTTAAACGTCCACCTACTGGTCCACTGAAACCACTTGCAAGTCTGATTGTCCTTGGAGGTCCCCCTTCCTAGTACTGACCATGCACAGCCTTACTTAGCTTCTGAGCTCTAACAAGGCTACAGTGTGGCAATGCTGCTGATAATAAACCTTACTGTTAGCAATTTGCACTTAACTCTCAGAAAGAGCCATTTCAAACTCAGATTGTAGAATCCATTTGTAAATGCACAACAGTGGGGAGGCTATAATTTTGTACAAATCCATTTCTAGTTACAACTCAAACATAACCTTTGCAGTACAAAAACAAATGGGTCTTCAGATGCCAAGCTAAAATGATAAACCCACATATTTTAGTACAAAGTATTTTTTATAAACTACCTTCTACAAAATGAACAACTCTAGTGCTCCAAGTCGTGGGGAAATGAATGCAAACATTTGGGAAACATTTGAAGGTTCTATTTTAGGAGACTCTTAAAAAAACTGGCCCAAATTCTCACAAGAGTGTTTCCTGTTGACAAAGTCATTCTTAGCCACTAGGTTTATCCTGCAGGAAATTACTGTAGACAAAATAAGGATTAAAGGTTGTCACTCTGACTTCTACCAAATGAAACTAAAATACACTTTGAAAGTCACTTTTTTCTTTTTAAGAAATTGACAAGAGTTTTAATGCCTCACCTAGTGGTGTAAAATTTGGCTGTACTTATACTTGCATGAGGCTTACTTTTCAGATCTGCTGAGGTAACTAGAAACTCTGATGTATGCTAACAGTGCAATTACACATGTATATCTATATATTCAGTTTTAAAATTGAAGTAGCATGCACATGGTTTTAAGTTAAACTTCCTTAAACTTAAACTCAGTACTAGGCCAAGCTAAAACCCAGCTTGATCTTTGCTTCTACCTAAAGGACAGAATAATCACAGAAAGAGTTTCTTTTGTAAACTGAAAGATCACATGCTCTTTTATTTCAAAATAAGAGTGGTAACTACTTTCTTTTCATTTTCCTTGACGTTTATAAGTCTAGTGTAAGTGGTGTCAATATAAGAATTATCTTATAAGTGCAGGATTCAAAATGATGCACTCAAAGCAGCTAACTCTGTTTTTCACCCCATAAATGGATAAACTGAACATATTTTGTATCCATAACAAGGTAATAGCAAAGACCAGTTAGATTCACATATACATTCACACAAATCAGAAGCAATTCCATTTTTTGAAGAATTATGAGACACCAAAAAAATCTCACACCTAAAAAGCAGCTTCTTCTAGCAGTTCAGAAAACCTTTGTTATTTTTGTGACCTTTGTAAAAGCCTAATAGCCCCACATTGAGAAATTCTCACTCCTTATTCCCCATCACAAATGCTAAAAATGGAATGACTTAATCTACAATTTACTTCTTTAAAAAATGAATAATAAGGCAAGAGCAAAACTAAAAGCTCCCATTTCTGGTCGAAAAGCTCCTCTCGGTTATAGTATTCATTCAATTTCACTTTCTAATTGGAAGAGTCTGAAGAGGGAACACGCACAATGGCAGCTTTGTGGCCAGAGTTTGAAGGATGCCAGACAGAAATTAAGATGTGGCCACTGGCCAACATGGCTTATTTCATTCAGAAACCGCTCAAAGATGCCAAACACAAACTTAGGCTATTTCATCCTCAACTTTCCTTCATTACAAAGATTTTAACCATGATTAACAGTAAGCAGACTCCAGGGCAGCATGTCTGTACTTGGGAAGAAGATTTTCCACTGGTGCCTGTCAGAGGAGCTCTGAGCCTGAGATGGGAGCTGTACATGTTTAGTTGATCAAGGAAAAAAATAAAAGCTCATAACAGATGACCAAGACTTTACCCTGGGCAAATACTTTTAGTTGCATAATTTGCCCATTGCACTTGTTTGGTTTCATTTATGTCTTTGAATCAGTTCCAGTCACATACAATTTAATTACATTTCACCGCCATCTGGGCTTATAATGTAAATCACAGAGAGATCTTCCATTCAAAAAAGGGGGGGGGGGACGGAGGCAGGGGTCGGGGCCGAGAGGGGAACTCGCATTCTGAGAAGCCACACAATGATTAGTCACACAGCATTAATCTGCCTTTTTAACAATAGCTACCGAGTTGCGACCGAATCCCAGCTGTCGCCCCATGAAAGAAAAGAAAAACAAGAGTTAGAGCTTCAAGCGTCTATGAGACTTCTGCTGGAGAAGTGTCCTGCATTCATTAGAGGCTGCGGGAAAAGCTTGCTTTTGTCCACGAAATTGCTCATGGGCCTGATTAATTTGCCAAAGTTTTTTTTTTTGGTGTGTGTGTGCGCGCTGGGGAGGGAAAGTGTTAGACAGACAACACCGAAGCAATGTCACTAAAACAAAAGACAAAAGAAAAAAAACAATATAAGGAGAATAATTTTGGAGATTTTTACGATATCGTCACACTTCGGGGCTCCGGTCTTGACGTTGCGATCAGATTCGCCGGTACAAGCGAGCGCTTACCTGCATTCTCCTGATCCATCAGAAGCGGTTTCGCACCTCCCTCCATTCAAACATGTCTCAGCGGGTAGCGTGCATCTCAGACCTGCAAGCACAAACATCGCAACTTGAACGGCCTTTCTCTCGCTTTATTTTATTGAAGTTCAAAAGTCGCCGCAAGAGATGTCAGGAGACATGGGATGAGATTCTTCACTATGTATTCAATCTGGCAGTTATTTTCCCCATAAACCACAGTGAAACACTGGGGAAAAGTGGACATCAGCAGCACGATTAATTAATAGTACGACACAGTGACACCCCAGGTTGCAACTTCGCGGACGACACAGGCATGTTCACTTTAAAGTCATGTGTTTTGCAGAGCTGAAGTAAACTGTAGTGCCAAGCTGAAAGCTAAATGAAATCCAAGGTGTTACTTTCAAAGGCTATTCTTGCTCACTGCGAAAGTCTGCCAAACTTCTGCGCACAGGGCAAAAGTTGAATACAGTACAAACCAGGTGCATGTGTATGGACAACGCTTGGGCCGCTCTGCAGGTGGATAAGGGTATTGCAACTGCATGCGACACGCAGAAAAGAGTGTCCTTATGTAGACTGCTTAGCAAAACAGGACAGAAATACGGAGAAAACGCTTTTCTGCGTCTAGGCTGACGGGCGCAGTGCAATGCCCAGTTATGGTTTACTAGTAGCAAGGACTTTGTACAATGTTCGGGGGGCAGCACAATCGCCCCTGGGGTAGTGAGCTGAATTGTGTATTTAGGAGAGTGCGTGACGTGCAAGCCCGTGGGAAAAACGCAACAGCTGCGGAGCAAGGACTCTCCGGACCCTTAACAAAAGAAGAAATCAGAGTCCAGCACTGTGGCAGCTAAAAAAGCCTCCTGTTGTCTTGTTTAATGCGGGGTACGATCAATGCTGAGCCTCCGCCTCCACTTGCGTTAGATACAATCTTAGAGCACACGAACGCCTTGCCCCCCTGCCTCTCAATAAAAAAAAACACTGGATTAATACCCTCATCAAACACCAAGCTTAAATGCTACAGTATCAAAGGACAGTTATGTATTAAGTATGCGTAATACTGTCAAAATATAATGCATACAAGGTTGGAGTTGCAGTGTACTGTACGTTATCACTGTTCTCAGTCGAAAATAATGATCGTTTATGATATTAATAATATACTGTGAAACAACACTAAGGAATACCCAAGCAACACGTAGGGGCGAAAAAAAACTAATACCTTTCGAAAATGATTTAGTTCAGAACAAGGGAGTGACTCATTTGGACACAAATGTAACTTAAGAGAAAAAAAAAAACTTTCACACGCTCGCCTGTAAGATAACAATTATTAAAACTGAGACCGCGAAACCGAAAATAAAATCACAGAAAAGTTACTCGCATGCCTCAATACGATCGATTGAAGCCTGGTGTCATTTTGTTAAACTTCCGCGATGTTTGCGAGGAACAAAAATATCTGAAGAGCGAACATAAATCGGACAAAAAGTACTCCACAATCTACATCAAACTCGACAAATTACGTGTTACGGTATCTCAGCATTTTAAGAGGTGTATGACAAGCAAAAGGAGGTGAAAATGAAGATTAGAAAATGAAATTCAGTGGCACTATAAAGAATATAGTCATTCTAATTTTGACACAAGAGTAAATAAACTCCTGAAAAGGTCACGCACGCGATATTAAGGTTCCAAAAAGGGTTATATTCACAATAATTCACTTTCTGTTCTAGTGGATTAGCAACTGATGCTATTTAGCTAGCAAGATGCGTCGCAGGCTGAGAACACGCAACAAGTGTTTTAGACTTGACTGCTGGATTTTTCCCCCCTTCAGTTAAAATAACACCGCGACACAGAATGAGTGCAATTCTCTTGACTTCGACCACTTAGACCGGAATTCCCATCACTATTAGTCCTAATTATAAAGTCCCCCAAGTCATATTTAAAAGTGCGAAGAAAAAAATAACGTCTTCAATTCCATGCTTCTGCGAGAGACTGGGAATACAGTCACTGTTAAACGACTAAATAATAAACGGGCTCTACTGAATGCGAAACATGTTAACTCACCTCGTGTTAAACCAGTCAATGAAATCAGAAATATTAGTTTCACAAAGAAATGATGCATTCCTTCTCTTCTGCTTTACAGATCCTTAATAATCCCACGTAAGGTTAGCATAGATCCAGAGGTTCTTTTCTTCTTCTTTTGCCAAGAGTTTTAATGCACATCAAATATCCTCAATAAATAGATCCAAAAACCTCTCACTCCCAAATGTCCCTACGTACTCCGTGCGTGTGATGTGCTCTCCTCGGCTTCAGACTTCTATATGCGACTTGGCTTTCTGCAGTCTCCACTTGGCAATCAGGGGCGTTATCCTTCCGCGCAGGTACCTCTCCCAAATTACTTCTCGCTCCCAGAGCACTTGCTCGAGGAACAGTGGGAAAAACACGCCCCCTCTTTAAAACCACCTTGCGTTTGCTACGCAGAGCAGTTTGAAATTAAACATTGACGTCCACTCACGTTTTGCTGGAGTGTTTTAGAATCGGAACTATGCGGCAGAGCACTACTGTAGTACAGCACTTGGGGTTAGTACGGAAAGTTTGTGAAAGGCGGAAGACTTCTGCCTAATTTACAAATCAATTGAAGGGTTGCTGGTAGAGCGCCGGTCTGGGTTCGGCTGCTGTCTGTCGCTTGCTGGGAGAAAGTCTGAAGAACACAGCAGTCTTCTCACTTCAGACGCCCGGACAGAATATTCAAAAGTCTCGCCGGTTATTGAATTCACGACATCGCTTGAAAATGAGTTAATTTGTTTCTTTTCCCTAGAACAAAAAAAAAAAGTCCCGCGCCAGTTTCCGTCCTTTTCAGTGTGTGCTGATGCACTTTTTTGTTTATGGAAACGATACATTTTTTCAAATAAAAAGGCAAAACAAAGAAAATTTTGAAAAATAAAACATGTGACAGGCGTGTTGTTGTAAACAGTATTTATCCAAATGATATTCCACCTAAAATCCTGATGAATGTATAAAAATAACCCTTTCTTAAGACCACATTAGCTGTAAATAAAAAAAAATATAGTCGGTTTTATCCAAACATTGTTCATTCTTTGGTGGGTTTCTTTTTTTTAGGAATATTGTATATATTTGGGTTGAGATTAAAACGATTATGGTATCTTGGCAAACAGTTTCATATTTCGAACGGGAGCCTTATCTTTTAACATTCTTTATCGCTTTATTTATATATAATATCCAATTTATTTTTGTATTTTGAGAGGGGCGGGGACATTGTTAATATGGCTTGAGAACTTTGGGGTCACAAGTTTACAATTTATTACAACAGGGTCTACCGCAATATAGTTATGACGCAGAAGAATGAAAGCCAGCCTAATGTTTGTCAAAAACAAAAACAGGCGGACACTAGAAGAAACCTACGGGGAAGTATATTTTAAGACAGGAGACACGTCTTTACACCAAGGGTTGTGGGAGTCTGAAACAAGTTTCCCAACCTTGCTGTTTAAAGTTATGACCTGGGAGACTTTAAAAAATGACTGTCTGAGATTCTCCAGTCCATCTCAGATCTGTGTTTTTTATTATATAAACCAAATTTAATGTTACAATAATTCGCCTCCAAAGAAAAAAATATAGTAGCATGATTTCAGGTGGGTAGCTGTGTCAGCATGTGTAGGCTGCAAAGGAACAATAGGTTTATTCCATGCTGAAAAGAAAAGAAAGAAAACACAATGTTTTGGCTGTGGAGCCTTCTTCAGGTGTAAGAAAGATTGGCCTGCCAATGGACTGCACTATTTTTTTTTGGAATATACCTATTACTTGCTCCTTTATGGTAGAATTATGCCCATTACAATTTACAGGCCTTACAGGTTATATAACAACATAAAACAAAACAGTTTAATCATTTGAGGTTTCTCTGTTGTTCTGTGCTGCCTCAATGGAATAAAATTACACACTGATAAATATCTCACAGTGTTTCACCAGCATGGAAAGCTGAAAACACCAACAAAAAACACAAAGAGATAACTATATGCTGACATTAACCGTTTCACATTAGTCTTGAGCTACAGCAACTATATCTGATGACACTTCCTTGTTTATATCTTTATGCATGGATATTTACACAAAGGATCTTCCAAAGAATAGGTTCAAGTGCTGCACCCAATGACCTGTCCGAAAGAGATTTTGGGTTTATCTCCTGCAGTAAAAGGTCTTCCTTCTTTTATCTAGGATCGAAGACAGTAAAAGCAAGAATTAAAAGCACATTGACTACAAATTATCTTCATCTGTGATTTAAACTATGGCTTTTTTTCTGTTATACACATGGTAAGTGGAAAGTGTGAGAAGGTGATTTTATACTGTTATCACTTTCACTCACTTTCGGATAGTGATTGAATGAAGGGGGAAAAGAGGAGGGAGACACGTTCACACCTTTCTCCTTGTTAAAAGAAATCTATAGAAACCTATTGCATAGAGAACATTTCCATATAAACCTATAGATCATCCTTAGGTTATTTTCTTAAACTAATCATTTTTTAATCTAATGCACCGAGCACTTGCATAAATACTTCTACTGCTACTACCACTATTTCTATTGCTACTGCAACTAATAATAATTTATTTAGCACTTTTCATTCAAAAGTATCCCAAACCTCTTTTCAAATAAGAATGTACCCACTCTATCAATCACTGAAGTGAAGCCCCAATTGTTATGACTGCAGTCCCACTAATTGCCATGTCTGATATGAAGAAGAAAAATGTCTGTATGTGGAGACATTAATTCACATGTAACACAAATATGTAGTCAAAGGCTAACAATAAATGAGTGTATTCTCCCACCTGCCTAATAGAACAACCTACAGTTCTTCTACCAATGGTATCAGAAACACTAACCTTGAAACAATCAAAGTGCATGTAAATCAAATTAAAAGATCTTCAGACAAATGTCTGATAAAAACAAGAGATGTTAATTTTGCATAGACGCAATGTTATAATAAAAAAAATCATAAAAACATTTAATTCTACAAATGTCAAATCCTCCAATTGTTTTTCTAACAATAAATTAGTAGATAACCTTTACTTCAACTTTCCTTCTATACTTTCCTATGTAGGTTAAAGATGAAAAAACATCAGTTGCTGCAGTCTTGAAATGTTGTTGCTCACTCAGTACAATGCACTGGTTTCTTTGTGAAACTCCTGGCTTGTGTGATTTTGTGGTTTAGGTTTTAGGGCATTTAGATTTTCATTAAAGTCTAAGATGAGGGGAAAAAATGATGACGCCCCTAGTTATATAAAACATGTTTACAGTACACGAAAAGTTGAACGTATTGTATGGAAATTTGTGCCTTTCTTTCGGGAGTAAGGTGGGAACCACAAGGTGAAATGTTATCTCCAGTTTCTGCGCCTCCAGGCAAAGCTTAATTTTGCATAGCCATATTTTTGCGTTGACAGCTGAACTAAACCCTGGCCAAGAAAAAGCAGGTAACAAACGCTGGAAGTGTGGGAACAGCCTCTTAAGGAGAATCTTTGACCTGGGGCCAGAAAAAAAAGGTAAAAAAATTGTGGAGGTGGTAGTGGTGAGAGAGAGAGTTAATGAAGTACAGCACTCTGTGAGGACATGTGGAAACACCCCCATACACTTAAATGATATATACATTTTATTGTTGTCATAATCACAATATATCCCAAACATTTGGCATATATTAACTCCAAAACCCTTCAAGACTTGGCTTTTTATTGGCAGGGCTGCTGAGTGCCAACGGCATATTGCATTGTTAATAACTTTGAAAGACAACTCTTGTGGATAAATGCTCTAGTTATAAATGTACCATTTTATAGGCAGAACGTCTGTGGAACAGCAAGGCTTGTAAGAGAATATTTACAAGAATGACCGTTTTGAAAGAACATACAGAGTGTGACTTTGACTATAGCAGATCTAGAACGCTGCTCTGATCCCTAAGCTTTCTCATTTATTTTTTGCTCTTTGTGAAGTAGTCACCCACAGGTGACTTCAGTGCAGACCAACCCAGCTAACGCCCTGTAACATAAACCTAGTGGGTGTGGAAAAAAGTAGAAAAATCCCCCACACAGATGCATTCTGGCAGATGTCCACTAGCGATACTATTCACCTGTGAAAGGATGTGTGCTGTTAGCGTTGTCTCCCTTAACCCACTAATCTCAGTTTATCACAGGACTTATTTTGCTGAAACACACAGCTGCCAACACAGCATTCATATTTGTACAGAACTGAACAGAGGAGAAAAAAATGAACAATTGCCTACTGATAAATTTATATTCCACGTTAAGAACACCAACACAGTTTTTCATCTGTACACTAAAACAAACAGTAACTTTTATGGTGATAATTCTCTTTACATTAGACAGTTAGTGTTAACTGGCAGAAAACAATTTAGTTGTAGAATCCCTTTCATTCAATATGAAGCTGCACAAATCCTCCAAAGTATAGGTCTGGTGTTACAATCACTAATAAACCAACCAAAATTCTATATTACTTCTGTGTAGGTGTGTTCTTTAAAACTATTTTTAATTAAAAATTATAACAGTAAACCAACACATTGACAGTGCCCTCCAGACATATTAAAAAACATCATATAGCTGAATGAGTTAAGGATTGTATAATATGTCTCTTTATAAATTCTAATTATGTTATTGCTGTAATTGTAATAGGATTGCACAGAGCAAAGTAATTTTTGTCATAAAACAAACCGAATTCCAGAAAACAAGAGGGTCACCTTTACTCAGATCTCTAAATATTTAAATAAAATTAAACCAAAACAAATCAACAATCATATTATGCTGTTTGGAAGTACGAAGGAAGCCTCCAGAATAACAGCATATAGAGGCCTCCATAGGATATACAACTCTCCACTGTATTGGAAACAAAAGGAAGACTAGGGCCGTTTTAAGGAACACAGTCCTTTTCCAGATTCATTTTATGAGTTGTGGGACAGGTGACAGGTCTGCCTTGTTCTCAGTCCAAAAAATTAGGTTTTGTTTAAAGAACCATTCAATCAGCTTCTCGTGTCTTCCTGGAATCCAAATATGGGCTCTTTATGGATGTCCCACAATATCTTGTTTTCGTTTGTATCAATATGACTCTCTATCGTACAGTAAACATGCAGTATATTTTACTCTGCATTGGCATGTGATGTAACATGTTCAAATATGTTCAATCTGGAGCACCTTAAAAAATAGTTCCAAATGTCCTGTTTATGACAACAGAGCAATGAACAATTAAGGAGGTCTTCAGAAAAAACAAAACATACTTTCTCTTAAATGGATATTCAACAGTTGATAAAATATGCATTCTTTATGCAGACTTGAAAACGTGAAAACTTGAAGACTTGAAACAAATACTATAGATTACCATGGTACAAGAAAATTGAATTG